TCGCATCGGTAAGATCTACTTACATGCTAAATTTCATGAAAATCGTACAACTATTAAAGAAGTTGTCAAATTGGTCATAAATACTGGTTCGAAATCACAGCGACTAATTTTCGAAATTCGAATATCTGAATCTGCAGATTTGAAGTAATTGTCTCAAAGTACTCAAAGAAAAAAGATTTAGTAAAATAGGTCAAATAGTCACAAAGTTACAGCATTGTAGGTCAAATGCATTCGTTCGTGAAATTCGGTGATTTCAGATTCGTATAACGTTTTGAAAATATATTTAATCAACAGCCACCACCCATTTTTGGGAAGATAGGTAAAAGTTTCAGAAAGATCCTATGGTTAGATTCTGAGAAATCCGATTTGTGGATAAAACACATTTCACCGATGTGGTAAATTCGTATTTCTTGTGGCATATAGCAGATCATGACTCATGCTGGCATTACACAATGGTTTCTTTGGGTTGCATTCCTTATTGTTTTCAAATTTGAGTGAAGTCTGTGTCACTACAGACCCAGGACTGTACAGCGCAGTGGACGCTTACGGCTAGCCCCGGGATCCATTCATTTTTTTTAAATTGTTTGTCTGTATGTGTTTTTCTGAGTATGATGTCTTGTCTGTGTATTTTTTTTGTGTAAATTTTGTGTGGTGCAGTCCCCCTGCACTTACTATTAGGGTATCCATTGTCTGGCGAAAGTTTGCGTCATCAACAGCTTAAAGCCTGATCAGATATTTTGTTAGACATTTGTCAACCGTTTGGAAACTGTGTAGGGCTCTTAGGACAGCTTTACTGTGCAGCATGTGTTCAACAGTGTTTTAACCATAAATGACTTGTAATACGTCACTCAAAACCGTCCCATCCATTAGAGCCCCGATAGCGCCTAAAAAGATCATCAATATATGAAATGATCCAAGCATCAACATAATATTTTTCAAATCATTATCATCATTCAAATCATTCAGAATTTACGATGCCTTCCAGAAGAGTGGTTGGTCAAACGTTATAATGGCCGGAAGCTTGTAATTGTGAGCTAGGTTTGAGAGATATGAAAATGTTGAAAATATACACATTTTGTCACTAGAATGCATATCTATCATATTAAGGAAATGCACCGAGGATTGTCCATGGTAAGCACGGTCTTTGTAAATCAGACTCATGCTTCCTCCCAGTTGGGAGTATTATGATGAAGTTTGAGTTTCAATGACATATCAATCTTCGGGTAAATTTACACTTTCAGAAGAGCATCAAAACTAAGTTTTCGGGTCTGTCCCGAATGAATTATGTCAAGTTTACTCTGACCTGTTATATCTAAGTTCGCCATATCTATATGTGGAATTTTCTTACCAATCTGGTTTCGTGATGTTACTGTTGCGATCATCCTCATTCCATGGAATACACCTTTTCTATCTATCGTAATTTTATCATGATCAACATTATCAGCTGCAAACTAGAGTGCCATTTGTTCAGACATAGCCCATATTGGCATATCTGTATCAGAGCAGGCAGCATTCAAATTTAACCCGAGAACCTCGCTGTACAATGAGTAAAACCCCATAGTATAAAATGTATCGATAACATGTCGCTGTCTTAGATGGTAATGTAATTGGACCACTAATCCTAGCTGTAAGGGGGCTATCACAGCCTTTGCTATTATGGCCTGTACGATAGCTTGTCCTAACGACAACTTTTTGTTTAGTTTCTGTTCCACTGATCAAACCTTTGGCAAAAGAATCGAACTTTATCAGGGAGGAAATCAAGAACAGATCATGTATGTAGCCACACCGGGCGGCACTATTTTATGCCGCACGGCACAAAGAAAGAATCGAAGAAAGGCGCCCAGTCGTGTTTAAACCCCTTTGTCCTTCTCTGTACACACACTCAGCGCTCAAAATTTACCACCGCAAATGGCAAAGCCATGGTAAAAGCCGACGCAAACCATGTCTGCCACGGCATAATTTATTTTTGTGTGCCGTAGTAGACCCTATCATCCCAAATTAGTTTAAAGAAAGAAGTATTGGTATTTTGTTTATTTATATTTAGAAGTTGTGTAGGTCTATTCATTTTACAATTCTATTGTCTTTAAATTTGTATATTTGCAGTAAATAGGTCACCCAGACCAATTTACTGCACTCAAATGTTAAAGGTTTGGATGTCGAAAATGGTGTCGTAATTCTTGAGACACAAGTCAAATAAAACAACGTGTTCAATTATCAATAATTACCTGTTGTCATAGTTTTTTGTACTCAAATAAAACACAAACACCGTTTTAAGAATCGTTTTAATTTTTAATCTCAAAGTAATAAAGTAATATTTGAAAAAAAAAAAAAAAAAAAACCCTGAGAAACAGAGTGGGGTGGGGGAATTTTATGCTCGGTCGGTTGGTGTCAAAAAGTTTTTAGATCCCTGGCAGAGTCTCTGTATCATTGATGAAAATTAAGTGAATTTGGTAAAAATTTGAATATATAAATGGAAATTTGATTTGCACTGAAGCAAATATAAAAGGCAGCAGATGCTCTGAAAATACACCAAGAAGGGTTGAATTTTCATAAAAGACCACAGGCCCCATTCAAAATAAATTTGTTCATCGCTCCGCTTGGAAGCTATTTTTTCCACCACTCAATGATTCCTGTCCAAAATCCAGCGAACTAAGACTTGCATCTACATCCCTGCAGATGCGAGTCTTAGTTCGCTGGATTTTGAACAGGAATCATTGACAGTTTCTTCATTAGATATTGTATCGTTTCTTAGGAATTTAATTGTAGCATTAATCATGGCGATTTTTTTAGCTTCGTCCCTAGAATCAGTACTGGTATTTTCATAAAATGTGCGTAGAATTTTATGAGCTGTTTTTCTGAGAGAAATAACATCTCCAAGCCCCACTTTCTGTGAGAACACAATAGAATCTCTGAAGTAACATTTTAACTTTTCTTTCATCCACTTTGAACTGTACAAACCAATGTCCGGCCCACTTTCAAGAACATTAGTGCATTGCGTGAATTTGCTGGCAGAGCTCCCCCACACCTAAAATTACTATTACACGAATTATGGTAAACATTGTCAGCTGTGTGTAAATCGTAAATGCAATATTCTATTCGACTTCTCACATCGGATGCCCATTCATTATTACGTCCATTGCAGCATTGTTTGGCCACGGTACAAGACATTCAGATTTATAATCAAACGGCCCTACTGAAAGTCTCTTACTCTGGTTCTCTTGATGGCTTCTGTTGTGGAATGAAGTGTAAAATTCTCAATTCTCGTATATTTTCTTCTACATTCAACATACACATACTGACCAACGGCCACACACAGGTCGTCTACTTTTCCAAGCCTGGAAATAAGGCACCTGTCACTGACAATGTCAGGCACAGATTCAGGCTTTGTCAAGCACTAAACCTCTGGTGCCTGTCATTTTGTCCGGCACTGATTTGTCTTTTTTATTTATATTATTAATACATGTCCAGCACTAAGTTGAAAATATCAGGTACTGTTTCATTAGTGCCTGACATTTTGTCAGGTACATGTAAAACCGTTATTTCCAGGCCTGACTCTTTCATTACACGACTTTCTTATACCAATGAACCCTTTCTCACCGATTTGTAGTATCTGTCGAACCATCACGGCAAAATGGACATACAACCTCTTCCCCAACACTAGGGACCGGGTATCGTCCAGACTTTACGAAAAAAGGAAAGAAACTAAGCTTTTAATACAAGAATTTAATACACGTATCCAGCTAATAGATTGCCGTCAAGAATATGTTAAGTGCCGTCAAGATTCACCAAAAACCGCCCAGTTTGTGCTACCGTTTAGATTAAGAAACACTGTTTACTTTTGACAACGATCGTCTGCTTTACGACCGTCCAGTTTCTCGGGATGTTTTTTAGAAATGAAAACTACCATTTAGATTTGAAAGGGGTTTAGTTTTTAGACAAGGCGTTTATTTTCCCGGACGTTGTCAAGAAATGAACAGAGTGTTCAATTATTTAAGGCGTTTAGATTTTACTCCAAATTACCACTTTACCGAGAGCCGTCTAGTAACTTACGGGTGAGTAGTAATGCAATGCCGTTTACTTTTCATGTCTTGTAATTAGTTTGCCCAGTGTCATCTAGAAAACTTAAGGCGTTTGTTTTTGTGTGAAATATTTAATTTCTGTCTCCCAATTTTAGAAACTATGTTCTGATTTAGAATCTGAATATAGTGTCTAAAATTCTCGAATGAATTGCATATTTGTTGAATATCATCCATTCTTCGGTATTGCTGACGTCCGTTGGGAAAAGTCAATTTACAATGAATTGAACATTTTCCCAGCGTAGATAAAACTCACATTTTATTTATTAGAAATTGGGAGACAGAAATTAAATATTTCACACAAAAACAAACGCCTTAAGTTTTCTAGATGACACTGGGCAAACTAATTACAAGACATGAAAAGTAAACAGCATTGCATTACTACTCACCCGTAAGTTACTAGACGGCTCTCGGTAAATTGGTAATTTGGCGTAAAATCTAAACGCCTTAAATAATTAAAGACTAATTCATTTCTTGACAACGTCCGGGAAAATAAACGCCTTGTCTAAAAACTAAACCCCGTTCAAATCTAAATGGTAGTGTTCATTTCTAAAAAAACATCCCGGGAAACTGGACGGTCGTAAAGCAGACGATCGTTGTCAAAAGTAAATGGTGTTTTTTAATCTACACAGTAGCACAAACTGGGCGTTTTTTTGGTGAATCTTGATGGCATTTATCACATTCTTGCCGGCAATCTATTAGCTGGATACGTGTATTAAATTCTTGATGATAAGCTTAGTTTCTTTCCTTTTTTCGTAAAGTCTGGACGATACCCGGTCCCTAGTGCAATGATACTCATTTTTGTAGACATGATATGAAGAGAAATTTGTTAAAAATCTCCAGAAAGTCAATATGGCTACCCACAAAACGTCATAAAGAGTTACATTATGTCGTCACTACGATGCCATAGCAAAAATATTGGCATTTAATACATTTATATGGTCTAAAACGCTTCCTTTCAGAGATATTTGCCATTGTTAGCCATTTCCCGCCATTTTGGATTGGTGATCGATTTTCTCAATACTTCATGCATACAGTGCGAAAGTACCGACATTTATTCCCACTTTATTTCAAAGGCATTTCTATTTAATTTTTTTATTTTCCGACTCAAAATTGCATTATGACGTCACTTTCTATTTAATTTGTTCGTTTTCTGACTAGATATTGATTATGATGTCATAGCAACAATTTGACCCCATCACATGATTCAATGATATCACTTTTATATTAACATTTATATGGTCTAAAACGCTTCCTTTTGGAGATATTTGGCATTTTACGCCATTTCACGCCGTCGTCCGCCATCTTGGATTGATTATCAATTTTCCCATAGACCCACAAATCCGATTTTGGAAGACTTTTGTTATTTTGATAAACAAGTACCCTAAATAAAAACACCAGTTGAATCTAGCTTTCTGCAAATTTATTCCAGGTAAAAATCTAGATTTACTGGGCTAATATTAATAACTTTATACCTATCTTTTCTTACATTTTGTTTCCAAGGGTGATCCTCCATGAGTTGACCATTTATCCCCTTCATATAATGCACCTTTTTTCAAATCAGGAGATCGTACTGAAGAACCACCTGAAAATACATCATAATTTATTTGTTAAGAATATAAAAGAAGAGACAGCCTGACTAATATCTGTATTTATATGTGTACAAAAAAACCCAGCGGCTGCCAGGAAGGATACGCCCACATTTTACAAAAGAAGGATAGAGAACAAGCTCAAAAACCAAACGCGATTTTTTGTACAATCAGGGGCAATATGTTTCAAGTTTCATCAAAATCGGATAAAAATTGTGACCTCTAGAGGGTCCACAACCTTCGTATTACACACTTCTACAAAATTTGCGTACAAAGAGCGTCCATTTTGTCTGACAGTTTTATTTTGATATTTCCGAAATACATATTCAACCTTCATTATGGTGGAATGGTGATGTATTTAAACGGTTTTTAAAATCAGAAAAAAATTGTGACCTCTAGAGAATCTGCAAGCTAAAAATGCAATTTTTCAAACAATCAGGGGCCATAATCCAGGAAGTTAAGTTCAGGTATCCGTGATTACCAAAAGGAACCAAAATCTTAGTCTGTAATGTTGATATATTCACATGTTTTTTTTAAAATCGAATAAAAATTGTGACCTCTACAGGGACCACAAGCTAAAAACATGATTTTTTGTTCAATCAAGGGCCATAATTCATGAAGTTATGATCCCATATGCGCGAATATCGAAAAGAACCAATATCTTTGGGTTATAAACATGTATTTCAAGTTTCATCGAAATCGGATCAAAATTGTGACCTCTAGAGGGTCCACAACCGTGATTTTGTCAGGCAAGTTTTGGTATGATTTTCATGAAATTTGAACTCAACCATCCTTAGGTAGAAACGGTGATATAGTGCAACATTTTTTTTAAATCAGATAATAATTGTGACATCTAGAGTGACCACAAGCTAAAAACGCGATTTTTCGTACAATCAGGGGCCATAATTCAGGAAGTTACAATTCGATATGCGCGAATATCGAAAGGAACCAAGATCTTTGGGTTATAAACTTACATTTCAAGTTTCAACAAAATCGGATAAAAATTGTGACCTCTATAGGGTCCACAACCTTGATATACCATATTTTTATGCTATTTGAGAACGAACGGCGGCCATTTTGTCTGTCAATTTTAGGCCGATTTTCATGAAATTCGAACAGAGTCGTCCTTAGGGTGAAACGGTGATATAATAATAAGGTTTTTTAAATTGGATAAAAATTATGACCTCTATAGGGTCCACAAGCTAAAAACGTGATTTTTCGTACAATCAGGGGCCATAATTCAGAAAGTTACTGTTCGATATGCGCGAATATCGAAAGAAACTGAGATCTTTGGGTTATAAACTTACATTTTAAGTTTCAACAAAATCGGATAAAAATTGTGACCTCTATAGGGTCCACAACCTTGATATACCATATTTTTACGCTATTTGAGAATGAACGGCGGCCATTTTGTCTGTCAATTTTGGGCCGATTTGAACGAAATTCATACTTTGCAGTCCTTAGGGTGTAACGGTGATATAATAATACGCTTTTTTAAATCGGATAAAAATTATGACCTCTATAGGGTCCACAAGCTAAAAACGTGATTTTTCGTACAATCAGGAGCCATAATTCATGAAGTTACGGTCCGATATGCGCGAATATCGAAAGGAACCGAGATCTTTGGGTTATAAACTTACATTTCAAGTTTCAACAAAATCGGATAAAAATTGTGACCTATATAGGGTCCACAACCTTGAAATACCCAATTTTTACGCTATTTGAGAACGAAGGGCAGCCATTTTGTCTGTCAATTTTGGGCCGATTTTCACGAAATTCAACCTCAGCCGTCCTTAGGGTGTAACGGTGATATAATAATAGGTTTTTTTAAATCGAATAAAAATTATGACCTCTATAGGGTCCACAAGCTAAAAACGCGATTTTTCGTACAATCACGGGCCATAATTCAGGAAGTTACGGTCCGATATGCACGAATATCGAAAGGAACCGAGATCTTTGGGTTATAAACTTACATTTCAAGTTTCAACAAAATCGGATAAAAATTGTGACCTCTATAGGGTCCACAACCTTGATATACCATATTTTTACGCTATTTGAGAAAGAACGGCGGCCATTTTGTCTGTCAATTTTGGGCCGCTTTTCACGAAATTCGAACTCAGTCATCCTTATGGTGTAACGGTGATATAATTATACGTTTTTTTAAATCGGATGAAAAATTATGACCTCTATAGGGTCTTCAAACTAAAAACTCGATTTTTCGTAAATCAGGGTCCATAATTCAGGAAGTAACGGTCCGATATGCGCGAATATTGAAAGGAACCGAGATCTTTGGGTTATAAACTTACATTTCAAGTTTCAACAAAATCGGATAAAAATTGTGACCTCTATAGGGTCCACAACCTTGATATACCATATTTTTACGCTAATTGAGAACGAACGGCGGCCATTTTGTCTGTCAATTTTGGGGCGATTTTCACAAAATTCAAACTCAACTGTCCTTAGGATGGAATGGTAATATAATAATACGGTTTTTTAAATCGGATAAAAATTATGACCTCTAATGGGTCCACAAGCTAAATACGCGATTTTTCGTACAATCACGGGCCATAATTCAGGAAGTAACGGTCCGATATGCGCGAATATTGAAAGGAACCGAGATCTTTGTGTTATAAACTTACATTTCAAGTTTGAACAAAATCGGATAAAAATTGTGACCTCAAAAAGGTCCACAACCTTGATATACCATATTTTTATGCTATTTGAGAACGAACGGCGGCCATTTTGTCAGTCAATTTTGGGCCGATTTTCATGAAATTCAAACTCATTCGTCCTTAGGGTGTAATGGTGATATAATAATACGGTTTTTTAAATCGGATAAAAGTTATGACCTCTATAGGGTCCACAAGCTAAAAACGCGATTTTTCGTACAATCAGTGGCCATAATTCAGGAAGTTACGATCCGATATGCGCGAATATCGAAAGGAACCGAGATGTTTGGGTTATAAACTTACATTTCAAGTTTCAACAAAATCGGATAAAAATTGTGACCTCTATAGGGTCCACAACCTTGATATACCATATTTTTACGCTATTTGAGAACGAACGGCGGCCATTTTGTCTGTCAATTTTGGGCCGATTTTCATGAAATTCGAAGCCATTCATCCTTAGGGTGTAACAGTGATATAATAATAGGTTTTTTTAAATCGGATAAAAATTATGACCTCTATAGGGTCCACAAGCTAAAAACGCGATTTTTCGTACAATCAGGGGCCATAATTCCGGAAGTTACAGTCCGATATGGGCCAATATCGAAAGGAACCGAGATCTTTGGGTTATAAACTTACATTTCAAGTTTCAACAAAATCAGATAAAAATTGTGACCTCTATAGGGTCCACAACCTTGATATACCATATTTTTTGGGCTATTTGAGAACGAAGGGCGGCCATTTTGTCTGTCAGTTTTGGGCCGATTTTCACGAAATTTGAACTCAGCCGTCCTTAGGGTGTAACAGTGATATAATAATACATTTTTTAAAATCAGATAAAAATTATGACCTCTATAGGGTCCACAAGCTAAAAACGCGATTTTTCGTACAATCAGGGGCCATAATTCAGGAAGTTACAGTCCGATATGCGCGAATATCGTAAGGAACCGAGATCCTCGGGTTATAAACTTACATTTCCAGTTTCAACAAAATCGCATAAACATTGCGACCTCTATTGGGTCCACAACCTTGATATACCATATTTTTACACTATTTGAGAATGAAGGGCGGCCATTTTGTCTGTCAGTTCTGGGCCGATTTTCACGAAATTCGAACTCAGCCATCCTTTGGGTGTAACGGTGATATAATAATACGTTTTTTTTAAATCGGATATAAATTATGACCTCTATAGGGTCCACAAACTAAAAACGCCATAATTCAGGATGTTAAATTCTGATATGCGCAAATATCGAAAGAAACCGAGATCTTTAGGTTATAAACTTACATTTCATGTTGCAACAAAATCGGATAAAAATTGTGACCTCTATAGGGTCCACAACCTTGATATACACTACAGTGCTGGAGCTTGGGACTATAATCGCCGAACACCGCGGAAAAACACTCTATTTCACGGTGGAATCTTGGAGAATCGCTAGCGAAACGGCAGCTAGCCAAATCACCGCGAAATAGGGTGTTTCGCGGTGAATTATGGTGTTTCGCTGTGAAACACGGTGAATCGCTTGAGTGCCGATATCCCGATGTAAGCATGTTGACAAAAAATGTAATTTATTTAAGTTGAATACAAGATATGTTAACCGTTGGCGAGGCAGCTACGGTCGTATTTCTAACACACTGTACATGTATAACGTGGTGCCACAATGTACGTGTATGCAAACAATGAATAACTTACAATTTTTTAAATGTATCATTTCATCTTATTGGCTGCTATCAAATCCAAAATTTAAATTATATTCGATGAGATTTTACACATAACTTCTTTACTCGCAGCTTCAGTTAATCTAAATCAACTATTCATAAATCACAGTGCCATACATGTAAATCACTCCGCAATGCGGTTAACCGTACGTCACGTGGTCAGAAACGCGCGAAAACATGAGATGTTGGGTTCGACACGGGGACTATATATTCTTACGCTGTGTTACTTAGCGAAAAGTTTTTAGCAAATCTTGACTGTCACCGGTATATGATAATAATGTATTATGACCTATTAAAATAATATGGGTGGGAGGGGGTACACTGCGAAAGTAACAAAAGTGACAAATAGAACTTGCAACCGGAGTCGAAAGCGCTTTCAAATCAGACATAAGAAGCTTGTACTTACCGCAAAAATGAAATGAACACGACACAAGTCTCCGATGTCAGAGAATATTCGTAAAGTATAACCGCTATCAAATCCACACAAAAATCCAAGGCACTCATTTTATTTTAGAAAAGAATAACTGTAGGCTCGATAGAACAGCCTATTCTTCATGAACCCCAAACCAATGGTAACTGTCAACTTGTATGTTGTCATTCTCGTGCAGATTTGT